CCAAGTCGAGCCTCGCCGCGGCGGCGCCGGCGACGCCCGGCTCCAACGACCGCGCCGGCGCGCTCGTCCGGCGCGGCGTCGCCGGCGACCGGTCGGGCCGATGGGGCTGCCCCATCGCGTGGTGCAGCTAGCGATAGGTATCTTTGGCCACGTTGAGGCCGGACTTGCCCCTGGGGACTATCCGCTGGGAGGCCGCTGACGGGGCTGGAGAGGCCGTTGGGGGGAAGTGCCCCCAGGTGGCGTCCTGTGGCCTTGGATTCGTGGCTGGGATATCACTGGATATCAATCTAAACTTGATATGCAACATAACGTCGTAGTAACGAGCGACGGACGGCGGCGAAAACGACGGCGGGGGGCGGGCGTCTCGGGCGGGCGGGATCGATGGCGGAAACGACGGCGGGGGCGGGGACGATCGGCGGGCGGGGACGACGATGGCGGCGGCGGCGGTGGGTTTGCTCACGCGGCGGCGGCGGCGGTCGCCTCTAGGAGGGCCTCGCGGGACCGGCGGTAGCTCTCGCAGTGGGCGCGGAGGGCCGCGACGGCCGCGCCGCGCGTCGCCGTCGGCGTGGCGGCGTGCGCGTGCGAGTTGATGAGCGCGGCGGCCAGCGTCGCGCGGCAATGCGCGCGGCCTCTCGCTCTCAGTTGCGGCGTGCGGCGGAGGACCCAGGCGTAGGCCCGGTCGCGGTCGGCCTCCGCCGCGAAGAGGGAGCCGAAGCCCAGGGACGACGACCGCGAGGACGACGGCGCCTTCGAGGCGGCGGAGGAGGAGGACGACGACGCGCCGTCGTCGTCGCCGCCGCCGCGGCCGCCGCGGTCGCCGCGTCGGTCGAGGTGGCGCGCGAGCGCCGCGCGGGCGCGCGCGTCGAGGACCGGGAGGAGGGAGGCGAGTTCGAGGGCCTCGGCCATCGCGGCGGTGCTGGAGGAGCGGAGCGTGACGCCGTCGCGGAGCTCGAGGCGCCCGCGGAGGGCCTCGAGCGCGGCGTCGCCCGAACGCTCGGCGAAGACGACGTACTCCGTCTCGGCGGCGGGGGGGAAGAAGCCGTACCGGTGCAGGACGCCCGCGCCGCCGGCGGCCCCGTGGCCGTAGTCGATGCAGACGTCCGCGCCGCGCGCGAGGTCGGACTCCGACTCGAGGGTCAGCGACCCGTCGGCGTGCTCCGTCGGCACGCGCGGAGCCCTCCGCGTGGTTCAGCAGCGTGAAGAGCGGCGCCAGCCGCAGGCGCCCCGTCCCGACGCGCAGCGCGTTCGCCGACACGAAGCTCCGCGCCCACCGCTCGTCGCCGCCCCCGCCGCCGCCCAACCCGGTGACCGCGCGGACGTACGCGCAACCGCCCGCGCCGCCGCCGGCGATCGCGCAGAGCGCCGCCGCCGTCTCGTCGTCGCAGCCCGCCGCCGAAAACGCCACGTCGCGCGGCAGCGACGCGACCCACGCCGCGTGGGGCGATGCGGCGCCTCGAGCCCGCTCCGCCAGCAGCATCGACGCCAGGTCCGATGCGTCCGCGCCGTCGATCTGCGACGACCGAGGCGCGTGCAGCAGCCGCTCCCCAGCCCGGATCGGCAGCACGGCGCGCAGGCCGAGGCCGTGGGCCGTCTCGACGACGGCGAGGTGCGGGTGCATGACCGCCGCCTGGGTCGCCCCCGACTGGACCACCATTTCAATGGCAAGGCGTCGTATCAATACGTATTGGTGCCAGAAGAGGCAAAAGCTTCAGGTGAGGTAATCGGCCTTCACAAGCACATTTTATTGAACTTAGGTTGAAGCGCGAGCCTATTAAAATTTGCGATGGCGCACTCGCAGCAGCCCCAGCCCCAGCGATGAGATGACGCGTTGATGCTCGGCACGACGTCGATGCGGCGCGGGCGGCGCGGCGCCGCGGGCGCGGCGGCGACGCATACGCAGGCGAGCTCGCCGGACCGGAGGCGGCGCGGCGGCGCCCTGGGGTTCGTGCGCGCCGTCATCTTCGGCGTCTTCTTCCTCGCCGTGGGCATGTACGCCGGCGTCATCTTCAAGTCCGTCGCGGGCGGCGGCGGCGCGGCGCCGCCGCCGGCGCCGACCCTGCGGGCGCCGCGGCCGGCGCCGAACGCGACGCCCGAGGCCGCGGCGCCCGAGCGAGCGAGCGACGCCGCGCGAGGCGCGTCGCTCGGCGAGGTCCCCGGCCGCGCGGCGCCGACGGACCGCGTGTCGCTCGGCGCGCTCCGCGGGCGCGCGGCGCCGGCGACGCGGGACACGGGCGAGGCGCCGGCCCCGCGGTCGGAAGCCGCGCAGGAGAGCGAGCGCGTCGCGCGCCTCCGCGCGCTCGCCGAGGAGACGCACGTCGCGAAGCGCGCG